CTTATTTCTCTGGATTTAAACATTCTTCGAAACATTTGGGATAATGTAAGTACACAAGTCAGCAAAATATATAACACTGTTCTAGTGGTTTTTGGATATTTTAATAAAAAAATCTTACATATTGTGCCTTTAAATGAAGAAATGAAGAGCTGATTTCAGCAGTGACCCCGACGTACCTGCTGTTCCTTCTTCAGCTGCTCCATGGCGAGCTGAAACTCTTGTTCTTTCAGCAGGGCTTCTGCGATGGTGGCCTGGTTCTGCTCCTCGTATGCCATGGCCACCACAGCCAGGATCAGGTTCACCAGGTAAAAGGAGCCCAGGAAGATCACCAGCACAAAAAACACCATGTACGCTTTTCCCGCCGAGCGCAGCGTCTGTCAGCACAGAAACAGCGTCAGGTCTCAACGGCTGCAATAACTCGCAGATTGAGAGAAACTCATGTGCAGTTGAAGCTTGTGATTAGTGACAGACAGATGCATTGGTCAGAATGATCAATCAAAGGCTATTGAGATCATTTACAGCGAACTCTCAAAATCTGCCAACAGCATAGTCAGTGGATGAAAACAGATGAATAAAAGTTTAATTTCTACATACACTACCATCCAAAAGTTTGGCATAATTTCTGTTGTATGTTTTACTGCCAAAATACAGAAATAAATTACACTGAATTTTATATTTACATATTCACTACCATTCAAAATTCTGTTTTTTTTTTCTGCTCACCAAAGCTGCATTTATTTGATCAAAAATAGAGTAAAAATTGTGAAATATTATTATGATTTAAAATAACTGTTTCTATGTGGATATATAGTAAAATGTAATTTATTCTTGTGATCAAATCTGAATTTTCAGTGTCACATGATCTTCAGAAATCATTCTAATATGCTGATGTCCCTGATGAATAGAAGTTTTATTTTCTTTAAAAAATTCAAAATAAAAAAAGTAATAAAATTACTGACCCCAAATGGTAGTGTATGCATATAAATTTTATATTTATACATTTTATTTTTTTTTTATGATGAAATATTAAATATTTTATTAAATACAAAAAAATAAATATTTTGTTTTAAATTTTATTTAATAAATACAGTAATGATATTTCTAATATGATCAATTCAATGCATCCTTTACAAATAAAAATATTAATTTCTTTAAAAAATGCATCTTCTAAGAAACGTATGTCATCCAGCTACCAATGAACAGTTTAATGCTTGAATGTGATGTAATGAGAGCGAACGGAAAGTCTACTGACGTGATGATAGAGGTTTTCCCAGTAATCTTGTGTCATGAGTCTGAAAAGCGAGAGAAAAGCCCATCCAAAGGTGTCGAAGCTGGTGTAGCCGTAGTTCGGGTTTCGTCCGGTCTTCATACATTCGAAACCATCTGGACATTTGCTGCGGAAAACAGGAATAACGGGTTATCATCACTGCAAACACGGTCAGTCCGTTATTGTGTACAGGAAATGAGTTTGTTGTTTATTATAGTACGTCCTGAAGGGGCCTGTAACATGTGCACAAAGGTGAGCGCTCTCTGAACGCTTGCTCTATGAGTTACGGTTGCGTTGAGAGGCTGGTGGCGCCAGCGGTTCGTCCCATTCCGGGGCCTGTCTCCGGCAGGCGGCAGCTGGCTCTCAGCAGGCTGGCATGTTGAAAGCGTGAGGGTGCGGGTGACGGCTGCTATCGCGCTCACACACCTCGCCGTGTCCCTGAAGGACGTGCTAATGGACGGGCCCCACTTCAGTCGGGTTTGGACGGGGCACCGGACCCCAGACGCACTGATACCAACCACCGCTTCCTTTCTCGTGTGGCAGAACGTGCTTGAGATTGGGACTGTTTACAGCGGCGTGGCTTAGAGTTTATGACAAAAAAAAGTGATAGATTTTTTTTCAATATTGACAGTAACATGTATTATTAATTATTCTAATTCTATTCTTTATTAAAAAAAATCTAACACTTGCTTCTCTTATCTTTTTGCATTCTATCTATTTGTTTTCTTTTTATTTATTATACAATTATAATTCTGACTTCTGATTAACAAAAGCAAAAAAGACCTCGAACACTAGCTTGCTCTATTCGTTTTCTATTCTATCTGTTTTCTTTTTATTTATTATATGATTTAAAAAAACATGCTATGTGTTCTGCGTTAAGCTAACTGAGACTTGTTATAGCACTTGCTTATCATTGCTCTTTTGTTGGTTTTGATTGCTTTTATTTTCCTCATTTGTAAGTCGCTTTGGATAAAAGCATCTGCTAAATGACTAGATGTAAATGTAAAATACTGCTATCATCAAGGTTTTTGTCTTGTTTTCCAGTGAAAAAGGAGCTTTGTTATTGATTGTTTAGATATTGTTTTTATTGACAGAAAAAAACAAAACCTTTTTTCATCAATATTTAATCAGTATTATTTCATCATGGTTTTAAAATCAACATTATATCAGTATTTCTGTCTTGTTTACCACTATAAACAGTACTTTATCAGAAAAGAATTAATCAATGAATAAATAATATTTTAAGTGTTAAAGTTTTTTTTTAAGTTTTAAGTTAAAAGTGTTTTTTGTTACTGATTATTTAGACATTTTATCTACAGTAAAACAAAATATTTTAAAACTTTTTTTTTTACTCAAAGTTTAATCTGCATTATTTCATCATGGTTTAAAATCAAGATTTAAACAGTAGTTTTTGTTTTCCAGAAGTGAAGGTATAAATTAAATTGTTATTAATTATTTAGATTGTTATTATCAACAATTATTAAAATATTATCAATATTTAGTAAATATTTTTAATCATGGCTTTAAAAATCAATGTTTAATCTGTATTTTGGCTTGTTTTCCAGTAAAAAAAAAAAAAAAGAAGTAAAGGAATTAATGATAGTTTAACTGTTAAATATCATTTTTGTTATTGAATATTTAGTTCATTTGTTTTTTGTTACGGAATTTTTTTATTTTCTTATTGAATATTTAGATTTTTTTATCAACAGGAAAATAAATAAATAAATAACCTTTAAACAGTAGGTTTTTTTAAAGTTATATATAAGTTGTATATGTACTATAGTATATATATATATATATACTATTTCATCATGGCTTTAAAAATCAATGTTTAATCTGTATTTTTTTCTAGTTTAAAAAGTATAATACAAAAAAGTAAAGGAATAAACGATAGTTTAATTGTTAAAGTTCATTTGTTTTTTGTTATTGAATATTTAGATTTTTTTATCAACAGCTAAAAAAATCTGTTAATGTTTTTTTGTATTTTTGATAGACAGTAAACATGTAAATTGTTTGTCTACTTTTCCTGTAACATTATCTAAACATCCTTAAAACAAGATCAATTTACTTGAAAAGCAAGCTTGTGCAAGATATGAATACTTGTTTTCAGATAACAGATCTTGTATATTTGTTTAGTTTTGTTTTCTTGTAGTCATGAATCTAAAACTCTTAAGTAAATAAATATTCTCTGAAAACCAGCCTTATTATCAGGTCCTATTATGCTTTTTCACTTTTTCAACTTTAGTTAGTCTGTGATGTTGCTGTTTGAGCATAAAAAAGATCTGCAAAGTTACAAAGCTCAAAGTCCAATTCAAAAGGAGATATTTTATTTAACAGAAATAACTTCTCAAAAACTACAACGAACTACTCGTTTGGACTACAACGCATATTTTCCGGGATTTGTGATATCACAAATATCGACAAATGAGACGAGATCTGGTTGAGCTGCACTAGAGAAGGCAACGAGTGTTATCACTATGTCGGAGACACGCTAGCTTTCCTAAGGCAGACGAACTTAGAATGCTTACAATTTTAAATCGCGCTCAAATTGATTTGATTTTGACGCAATATTTACACTGAAGCTCGCAGGCGGCTATGGTAAGGGGCGTGACATTTCCCGACCAGGCGCTGAGTGCTGCCAATCACAACACAC